CATTTGTAGCCCTTCTGAGTAGCAGAATAACCAAGAAAGACACACCGGACAGCCTTGGGATCAAGCTTCCCACGAGTACAAGATTGGAGATGAACAAAACAGACACTGCCAAAAACCCGAGGGGGAAGGGAAGAAGTGGAAAAAGGCACAGGAAGAAGCTCAAGAGGAAGTTGAAAGTGAAGGACAACACTAGAGGGCATACAGTTAATAAGGTAAGCCGCAATAAGAACAGCAACCCCTCAAAAAGACGTAGGAACGTTCATGGTAAACAAGAGAGAGCGAGCAACCTCAAGGAGGTGGCCATTCTTGCGTTCAGCAACTCCGTTCTGTTCAGGAGTGCCAACATAACTAGTCTAATAAAGAATGTCATGCTCCTCGAGGTATGCCCTGAAAGCTCCATCAACATATTCAGTTCCATTATCACTCCTAAGAATTTTGATATTAGCATTGAAGAGATTGGACACCATTTTATGAAAACTTTGGAAGCACGAGAAAACCTCATTTTTAGTACGAAGTAAATAAATCCAAGTCACATGGAAACAACAATCAATAAACGTGACAAACCACCGATAACCAGAGGTAGACACCACAGGGGAAGGACCCCACACATCAGTATGAATAAGCATAAAAGGAAAAGTACTTCTATTAATGGAAGGATAACAAGTACGTTTATGCTTAGCAAGCTCACAAGCATCACAAACAAAGTTATTCCTAGGATAATCTCTAACTAAGGAAGGAAAAAGTTTTTCTAAAATACTAAAAGAAGGATGGCCCAAACGACGATGCCATTGATGAAACAGACGTAGAGAGGAGCCGGAAGTGGATTGAAGAGCCTGAGAGGACAAAGTTGATGGAGGAGAAACAGCATCCAAAAAGTACAAACCACCTTGTGCTCTACCACTGCCAATCATTTTCGCCGTAGCCAGTTCCTGAAAGACACAATGAGTCAGAAAAAAGGTTACAGAGCAATTGAGAGCAGTTGTAATGCTGCTAACAAAAAGTAAGTGGAAAAATGAGGAACATAAATTACAGATGAAAGAGAAACTAAAGAGGTGCAGTGAACTGAAGCCTTCCCGGAGATAGAGGATAAAAGTGCCATCAGCCACTCTAACCTTATCTCGCCCAGAACCAGGGGAATAAGAATGGAAAAAACTAGAAATACCCGTCATGTGATCTGTAGCACCGGAATCAATGATCCAAGAAGACAACGAAAAGGTACTAAGTGCATTAGTAACAATACCTTTGTTGGCAAAGTTGAAAGAGGCAGAAGAGGAAGGAGCTAAGGGAGATGAAGAATCAAGGCGAGCCATCAAACGTCTGAGAGTGTGAAGCTCATCATGGGAAAGAGAACCAGTGTCACCCAAGGCACTAGCAGTAGTCTCCAATACATGTGCTTGAGGACGAACACCACGACCACGACCACGACCACGGCCTCGAGTAGGCCGACCATGTAACTTCTAATAGTGCTCTTTATCATGTCTATCTTTCCCACAATAATCACACTTCAACCGGTCCCGATCAACCACGGGACCCGTACCACCACCCGAAGACTGACTAGGCTGAGTAGCACGTGACTTTAGGGCTGCAACCATCACTAACGGATCATGAGTAGAGACATGTACCATATTGTTTTTTCCAATTTTTTTGATTTTTCGTCAAAAGCCTCACGCAATGTAGGAAACGAAGAGCGACCCAACACCTGAACCCGTATCTGATCATACTCCAAATTCAGGCCAGCAAGAAAGTCATACACCCGCTCTTTTTCCACAGCCTGCTGAAACATAACGGCATCCGTGGAGCAAACTGGCTGGGAACTCTGGTAGTAATCTAGCTCTTGCCATAAACAACTCAACTTCGCATAGTAAACTGCAAGAGAGCGATCCTTCTGATCCAAGCCCCTAATCTTCTTTCTCAATTCATAGGCCTGTGCATCATTACCCTGTTGAGAGTACATCTGAGAGGCGGCTATCCAGATTTTGTGAGTAGTATCCATCAAGAGAAAAGTCCGACTAATAGGAGGCTCCACAGAATTGATTAGCCAGGTCATAACTAAAGCATTCTCAGAAATCCATTGAACAGATAAAGCACTATCCGCAATAAGTTGTTGGGTACTACCAGTAATATAACCAGTCAAATGTCGGGTGGCAATGACAAGACTACAGGAGCGGGACCAAATCAAATAATTAAGACCATTAAGTTCGACCAGACTAATCTAGAGAGAAGGACTATCACCAAGAGTCAAACCATGACTCAGTCCACTCTCCTCCTTGCCTTTACAGTCCTGACCCATGCTGTCCGCCATGAGATAAGAAAAGAGGGTGCAAAAAACATAAGCCGGATATCAAACAAGTCTAGAAATCACCCAACCATCACAGCAAATCACCTTCTAAGGCTAAAACAGTCCAAGAGAAGCCCATAACAGAGCAACCAGATCGACTACAAGCCAGAAAACTGAAACAGAGCATCTAAACAGTAATAAAAAGCCAAGATAGGGCCAACATACATAAAATCAGGGACAACAAACTCCTCTAGGGTTCCAATCGGCTCCCCAGGATAGAAGGAGGGACAAAACCAGCAAACAAAGGGTCAAACAGTGATTTTCGAAAAATCACCCAATTTTGACGAAAAATCAAAAAAATTGGAAAACTCAATCAATAATGACCAAACAATAAAAAGGAGATTAAAGGGTGATTGCTCATTAAATTTCGAGCATACTGTAATTTTTTTTATTTTATTTTTTTTGCCTATAACAGACGTACTAGGATACAAGAATAGAAAGGAGACTAAGAGGAACAATCTTCAAGGAGGAAGATATTGCTCTGATACCATGTTGAATGTATAGATGAGAAGAAGAAGAACAACAAGAAGAAGAAATAGAACGAGAGAAAGCTGTTGTATATATTTTTGATTCAAAAGAATAAGGTTTCCCCCTTACACCTATTTGTAATAATAATAAGCATAAGACATAAAGACCAAATTACCCTAACACTTAACACTATCTTATGGCTTGTCTCAACTTTGTGGCTCATCAACTAACTTCTTATGTTTGCTTGCCTTTGCAAACACCATTGTGCTATCTTGGCAAGCTAGTAAGAAGAGCAAACTAGCGCCACACAGACCCACAACCCTTTGGCAAAGCTTCCGCATAGCCGGTGTGTGACACCAAGCCAAATAACTTAAACCATTCAAGTTCTTGGATGTAATGCATCTTGGAAAATAACATTTTTTATGCCAGTGGTTTCCTTTCAGCCATATCCAATCCATTAGGCTAAACAAAATAATCCACCGGTAGCAGAGATGCCAAAAAGAGCAAAAACAAATTGTGCAAAACACAAGATCAAGAAGGAGCTTGGAATAACATAGCAAAAACATAGTGAAAAAAAAAATTCAATAACTTGAATCCAAAAACTAAAAGATGACGCTGACTATCCAAAAGATCAAAAAAATCACAAAATAATGCAATGAATCTAAATGAGGCACTCTAAAAATGCCTCAGAACCATACATTGGCACCCTTCGATGAAAATTTCATCTCAATCAAGGCCAGAAATCAAATCAGAAAAATATGTTTGAAAAAGGCAAAAAAAACATTGAAAAAATTTGAAAACCTTACCAGATGGCCTCAAAAAATTTTGAAAAAATCACTACAAAGCATATATTGAAGAGACAAACCAAATATGAAAGTTTTGGTCACCAACCATGACGTCAACATGACATCAAGAGTTTGACACTAAGGTCAACCCTTGAAACATCCTCTCAACTAATTCCGGTTGTCTCCAAATGCTTTCCTCAAGTTCGGATGCACAAAGAACTAATTTGGATCAATTTTGGGTCTCATACCAAAGTTAGAATTGCTAACATATATCGAAGTTAGAAACCAAAGAAGAATGAGAGAACTAAGAGATGGAAGGAGGCTACGGTATCAGCAGTGAGACCCTGCACCGTAACTGGTATTTAGATTACTAACATTACAATGCAAATGACCAAAATAGCCTTATTGACCAAACCAATATTAAAAAAAAAAAATAGGACTCTCCCTCCCTCCCTCTTCTCTCATATATACATGTAAACAGAAAACCATCACCAACATGTTTATTGACTAACATCACTCTCATATATACAGATGTTCTATGTAGACAGAAAACCAGGATCAGTATGCTTATTGACTAACATCACTTCTCACTATATTCAATTATTTATTCTCTTGGGTGTTCAGGAAAGTCTTGCATCTTCACTACAACAGAAAATTTGGAGCTTTAGTTTCAATTTTTTTGTTTTTTTTTTTTTCGGAGAAATGCCTAGTGTCCCAACTATTCTACAGAATATTAATATTGTGTAAAATATTAGGGATTCCTAGCATTATTGTTTCTTTCAGTTCTTTGCATGTGTATGCATAGAATTAACATTGCAAGGAGTAAGAAAAATGAGCTTCCACAAGCACCAAGAGAAGAACATTCATATGAGGGAAGTCGACTTCCTCTTATAACTTCTGAAAATTAAAACACAAGGGAAATGAATAATCTAATTGAACTTTCTAGTCAATAAACCTCAAATAACTTTCTAAAAAACATTTTATCATGAATTAGCACTTGCTTCCAGTGCACACTTTAGTTTAGTTTAACTTTTTAGTCTTGTAACAATACACCCATCAATTCTCTTTGCTACAAGATAGCCTAATGTCTATGCGAAAAATCATAACCTTTAAGAGTGGAGAGAGAGAGATAGTGCTGATATCCCTTGGCTATTATAGTTTTTTCTTCGTTTTTTTTTTTTTTTTTTTTTTTTTTTTGTTTGGCATGTTTTCTTTTTGGTCATGTAGTTACTGCAATTACTATCATCTCAGCTCCCATCTCAATCTCGTAAGTAATCAATTACAAATGTGATGAAAGCATGGGAAAGAGAGTCTGGGGGTTAAACAACTTATCCAGAGTAAAAATAGCAATTTCGCCAAACAAAACCAGAACTTGTGTCAAAATACCAATATATATAAAATCCAAATACCTGTAACAACTATAACAATAAGGACAGCTAATGCAATGCTTCCCCCATCATACCATCCTTCTTTAATACCCTATAAAATAAAGGTTCAATCAGAAACATGTAGTTGAAAAGGCAATACTTATGTATATGTGTGGGTTAAGATTGTCAAAAGAACAAATAAACTTGCGAGATCGGTGGGATAAAAAGGGAAATGAAGCATGTTTACCAAAAAAAAAAAAAAAAAAAATTACGAACAATAACACATGACACAACCAACACATATATAAGATCTGGAAGCTCTTACAGTGAATTTTTACCCACGTACACTCATTATTTGCACTATTACAGTGAAAGTTTCAACTGCATGGATGTTTTGAGAACCACCACATCAATATTTGAAAATAAGCACATGTTGAACAACTTGTTTTCTAACAATGTAACATGAACAATATAATTTCGAACACTTAAAATTACGATTTCTAGAATGAGAATATAAAAAACATAAAACAGTCTTCTTCAAGTACAGAAAGCATACAAAAAATTCAAAATGTCGCATCATTATGTCAAACATTCCAAAGTTGAGGTTCAATTTTCACCACATAGCTTTAAAAAGGGCACACAAGCCACACATCAATTTTCGAACCTTTTGGGCCAATAAGCCCAAGCTTTAATCTTTTGGGGCCAAAAAGACACCTATATGTCCAAATATCTTATGGTCTATCTGTCCAAATGTCAACTATTTGCTCTGTTATCTTATGATTCAATTCATAATTTAAGCTAAATCAAAACGAATATATAGGGGAATCTATTTTGAAAATGGATCGATGGTGAATCGCATGATTCACACTTGATTCACTTTTTACGACTCATGCAATTCTTGAAACTATCGTGTCCAACATATTTCAACTCTTTTTCTCTCACTCTTTTAGTGAAAATGACATGATACAACTTCTACTAGTGTTTAGTATGAAAATAACCAATATACATACATGATTTGTTACTATTTTGGTGATTAGGGAATTTTTAATAGGATCCAATCAAATTCAATTAGACCGTACATGTTTTTAACCATTTCTTTTCATTTTTTCCTTTAAAAAAAATCATAATATGTCTTCTCAAAGTGTTTAAGGTATGTTTATGTTTATTGTCCAAATATCAACATTGTTGTTAAGTTATTGTTACTCAAAAGTTGAGAGTTTGTTTTTGTTTACTTCTGATATTAAGAATGGTTAATAAGAAAAATCTAAAAAAAGAAACCTGTGATAACTTTTTACCTATTAAACAATGTAATCATCATTTAAAACGACATTTTTGTTGATTTAAATCTATTTTTATATTTACAAGATATAGTTAACATCTAAGTGTGTGTAGATATATTTTTCTAAATAATTTTTAAGAAAGTGACCGAATCTTTACGATTCATGAGTCAATTCGATTCACAATTCAAAACAAGGCTATTTTGATTCACAATTCGAATCCTAACTTGACAACTATGCCAATTTGTACAATTGTCACCTATTTGTCCAAATGTCACCTATCCTTAAACGCAGTGTTATCAGAGGCGCGACTAAGCGCTCGCCTAAGCGCTAAGTGAGGCGAGGCGATGCGACGATGTAGCGCTTCATACTCACTGAGGAGAGGTGAAATGGTGAGGCGAAGTTGAAGCGCATGAAGCGAGGCTTAGGTGACAAAGCGAGAGGCGATGCAAAGCGAACCTTCACCAATTTTTGTCTGATTTCAGTTTGAAAGATCTGGGCCCTTCATTTGGATGACTTTTGTGCTATTTGTGGACATGCGTTGCACTTTATAATTGCTTTCTACTAAATAAGAAGTCGAAACCCTAAGTCGACTTTGTTCCAGTCAACATTTGCTTCGAACAACCTCACTGATTACCTACGTCTTCTTCTTCCTTCTTGGGACATCGTTCCAGTCGGTTATTAGAGATGAGTACCTACTTCTTCTTCCTTTCTTCTCCTGCTGCTGCGTCTTCGTCTTCTTTTTGTCTTCCTTTCTTCATCTTTTTTTTTTCAACTCTGCTTTGAAGAACTCTACTCTGTTTCTGTAGGCAGACCTTTTTCTCTTTTCTATTTTTTTCTTCTCTCCTGGTTCTTGTTTTTGTTTCTCTTCTTATTTATTTTGCTGAAATTTTTTTAAATTAATTTTACTAAATTGATTTTACAATTGTTTAATTAGTTTGTTGTGTTATTTTACAATTATTTTGTTATGTTAATTATATAATTATTTTGCTGAAAAAATTTCAATTAATTTTGCTGAAAAATTTCAATTATTTTGCTGCTAAAAATATGTTGTTCTTTAATTTCTTTATGCTGAAATTGTTTATTTCTTTGCACTATAATTGTTTCTTCGTTTCGTAACATTGAATTGCTTGGTTCGTTAGAATTAGATGTCGAAGTCGAGTGAAAGTAAAAAAGATCCGGCATGGCAATATGCACGGATGGTAAATCCCCAAAACCTTTCCAAGTTCATTTGCAACTTTTATGACAAAGAAATGAATGGCGGTGTTTACCGAGTCAAGCAACATCTTGCTGTGGTTATAAAAATGTTGTTGCTTGTAAAAAATGTCCATCTCATGTCAAAGATGAGATTACAGACTATGTCTCAAAAAATCAATCAAAGGTCCAATTGAGGATCGTTCCTGATTTTGATGAGATGGATAATGATGAAGATGATGATGATGAAATTCTTGAGATTAATCAACATGGTAAAAGGCTTGTTCCTACTCAAGGTTCTACCCATCGAGACCAAGGAAGTAGCTCCTCCAAATATGTTGCTTCCAAACAACCAAAGCAAAAGGGACCCATGGATGTGTACTTCACCCCTGATCCGGAAGTTGCGGTGCAAAATCGTAAAGCCAAGGAGTAGCAAACAAGAATTGATGATAATGAACCTAGCAAGAAGGTGTTGAGAGATCGGGCTCTTGTTTGGTTTTCAAGGTGGATGTATGATACGGGTATACCTTTCAATGTTGTGAACTATAATAGTTTTGGGCCAATGGTTGAAGCTTTTGGGCAATATGATCCTGGCATGAAACCACCAAGCTACCATGAGGTGCGGGTTCCTTATTTGCAGAAAGAGGTAGACCACACTAATAAGACCATGGAGGATCATAAAAAAGATTAGGTAACATATGAATGCTCTTTAATGGCCGATGGGTGGAAGGACAAAAGAAACAGGACATTAATTAATTTTTTGATTAATTGCCCAAGAGGATCAATGTTTATTGAATCCGTTGATGCTTCTAGCTTATCCAAGGATGCAAATGAGATGTTTGAATTGCTTGACAATTTTGTGGAGCGTATTGGTGAAGCCAACGTGGTTCAAGTTATTCCAGATAGTGCCTCATCAAATGTGTTGGCCGGTTAGTAACTTAGTAGTATACATTTACTTAGTACTTACTTACAATATGAATATGCAATTCTCATATTAAAAACTCGTTCTTTTTATTAACTTGTAATAGGGAAGTTTTTGAAGGCAAAGCAGCCACATTTGTATTGGACACCATGTGCAGCTCATTGATTGGACTTGATATTGGAGGACATTTTCAAAATTCCCAACTTTAACAAGACATTTGAAAAGGCAACCGCTCTGGTTTGTTGAATATGATGAGGCAATTTACCCAGTACAAGGATTTGATCAAGCCAGCAAAAACTCGATTTGCAACTGCTTTTCTAACTTTATCAAGGATTCATCAACAACAAACTAACTTGAAGAAGATGTTCACTTCAGAGAAATGGACCACAAGCAAATGGGGAAGGAACCACAGGGTAAAAAGACAGCACAAGTCATATTAATACCTTCTTTTTGGAACACTTTTCTTTATGCCCTCAAAATATCAAGTCCTCTTGTTCATGTGCTGCAATTGGTTGATGGTGAGAGAAAGCCTCCCATGGGATATATTTATGAGGCAATGGATAGGGCTAAAGAAGCCATTGCAAAATCATTTAATGGAAATGAAGAGAAGTACAAGGAGTTTTTTGAAATAATTGACAAAAGATGGAATGTTCAATTGCATAGGCCTTTGCATGTAGCTGGGTATTATTTAAACCCAGAGTATTTTTACGCAAATCCGAATATTGAAAATGATAAGGAAGTCATGTCAGGCTTGTATAAATGCATACAAAGGTTGGTCCCAAACAATGAGACACAAGATAAAGTTTGCGCAGAGTTGACTACCTATAAGAAAGCTGAAGGTGTCTTTGGGATGGCTTTGGCCATTAGACAAAGAACTACAAGGGCACCAGGTGATCTATATTTTATACTTAAGTAATTTTAGTTAATTTTTTATATTTTAAATATTTTTTTCAATTAATTAGTTATAATCAAAAGCTGATTGGTGGAGTGCATATGGTTCTGAAACGCCACATTTGCAAACATTTGCCATCAAAATTCTTAGTCTAACTTGTAGTTCATCTGGATGTGAGCGGAATTGGAGTGTGTTTGAACATGTGAGTACCTATTTTTAAATGTAGTGAATATGAACACCTATAAATTTATTAATACCTAGATTTAATAAATTTGAATATTTTTATTGGGTTTGAATTTTTGCAGATTCACACCAAAAAAGAAATAGGTTAGCTCAAAAACGTCTGAATGACTTGGTATTTGTCAAGTATAATAGAGCATTGAGACGTCGATACAATTCCCTTGACACGATTGGTCCTATCGCTTTGACAGATATTGATCAAAGTAACAAGTGGTTGGTTGGGACGATGGAGGAGGAACTTGTCTTTGAGGATGATACTTTGACATGGGATGATGTTGCTAGAGCTGCTGGAGTTGAGGAAAGTAGCCAAAGAACTAGATCAACAAGGGCAATAGAAAGGGGTCGTTCAACTTCAAAATTAGCAGCTAGACCTAGATTACAACTTATTGAGGAGGAAGAGTCAATTTCAGATGAGGGAGAGGAAGAAGATGCGGAGGGATATGATGAAGCCAATGATAATGAAGAAGAAGTTCATTTGCTTGATGTAGATGATTTTTAGAGCCTTTGGATTGTTGGATTATATTTGTCATTGTTGGATATTTTCTGTTGTTTATGGATATTTAGTATTTGGAATGATAAATGCATGATGGTTCTTGAAAATATTTATATTTTTGTCTATACTATTTATTTTAAAAAAATATCGTTTGTGGTCGCCTCGATTCGATGAAGCCCTCGCCTCGCCTCGCGCTTAGGCGTTAAGAGACCTTGTCGCCTCGGTTCACTTTTCGCCTTAAAAAACACTGCGTAAACGTATCACCTATCTATTCACCTATATGTCCAATGTCACCTATCTATCTACTTCACTGTCACCAGCTACCTGCACACGAACATGGATATGGATGAGGATGTGGACATGGTGATTTCAAACAAATGGCGAAACGGACACGGCAGGAATACAACAATAAAATATATTTTCATATATTTTTATTTACTATCTAGATTAATATTGCATCCACAAATAATCAATATTAACAAAAACTAACTCTAATTCAATTTTTTTTTTCTTAAATAAAAGAAAAGAAAAAGAACTTTCAAACTAACACTTACAGTTTATATCTTTTTTTTTTTGGATGATTGATTAAGTATTTAAATCTAAGAAAAAAATAATAAACATTCAACATCCAACATTCATCAAAAGCACTAAAGAAATGGGGGAAAAGACAAGTTGGTATGTCCCTAGTATGCTCCCGAAGTGTCCCTGGCGTATCTCCTGAAAATAAATTAATTAAATAAGGGGACACGCCATGTGAAGTGTCTCATACGTGTCCCCGCCATGTCGGTGTGTCCAACATGGCTACGGCACTTGTTTTGCAGTCTTGGTGCTTCATAGGTCACCATCAACTAGTGGACACCGGTGACTTTCCAGCCAATTTTCCAACACCAATGACTTTTTCTGGAGACTTACCCACATGCGACCTTATCACCAAAAATGATTAATCCATGGACCTAATGTTGTATCCCCCTATAGATACGAACTTTTGACCAATGAACCCCCCCAAAAATGTGTCATTCCATCAAGATACATCAAAAAGACACATCCAACCACGCCACAAACCCTACCATTTAGGACAAGGAAAAAAAATTCCAAGTCTTAAAAGGCTACCTGGAATCAAATGCACTTATATTTACACATCAATCTAAATTTTTTAATTCAATTGAATTGCCCATAAGAAAAATAAGGCCAATATAGAAATGTGACTATGAAAAGTATTTATATGTTACCATTTTTTTCTCTTTTTATTTTGTACATGTAAAAGTACTTTATAATCCTTCTATTTTGTAAATGTCTATTGATTGAAAATTTTATTTGCAAATTTACTGATAATGTTTAATTTTTATGCTTATAAAAGCGAATATGTAATATAACATGTGTACAAAACTTTTGTAAGAATGTGATCAAATAAATTTTGTAGTTAATTTTAAATTGTATATAATTTACCCCCTCTAAACTAGATATTGGGTCTGCCACTGACTCAGTTAACACTTTCCTGAAAAGATGGACAAAACATACAGCAAGTTCAGTTTAATTTATTCATTTTAGATTATCTATATATACTAAACAATCTAAAACATACAGCACATGTAATTAGGCAATCACTACAAATTTGTAGCAACTGCATTCCTATTTGTCAGTCTCAAGGCTTAAAACCCAATTCAGACAACTAAGAATAGATAACGTTCAACATACACTGCTGTCTTTTCCATTCAACATAAACCACCGTCATTTTCCTTTACAATTACACAGTGAATTAGAGAAGAAAATAGACCACAAGTTCAGTTCTATGTGCTCCATATTGTTTTAAACAAAACCATATCAACTCCTTGCAAAAGATCCTACAAAATATTCTTCCAATTAAATGAACCTACAAAATATAAATACGCATATATATTGGTTCACTGTAGAAGGAAAACATTTAACAATCAGTTACCTTTTCATCTGATTGCTATACTACAAATTTATAGTGAAACTACAAATAAATCCCTGAAAATGAAAATGGCAAATGAACATGCCTCGTTCTGTGAATAAATGGATGTTTCTGAATCCAATCCCTTCGTAAATGTTACACTAATGGTAAGAATTAACACAGAATTATATAATCTCTACACAATAATTATTTAAATTCCTTATGATTTCCTTGAGTGCATATTGCATTAATGGTAAGAATTAACACAGAATTATATAATCTCTACACAATAATTACTTAAATTCCTTATGATTTCCTTGAGTTCTCAATTAGGTAGTTTTGTTGAACAAACTTTATCCAGCTCAAAAAGTAAGTCCAAGTTTAAGGCAACGTAATATAGGGGGTGTGTCCAACTCGATATATCAATAATTTAAACAGTATGATGCTAAAAAGATTCTACTACAATTTCAAGTCTTCAAATGATTTATTTAAAGATAAGCCCCACTCTATGCTCACCTCTGACTTTATACCTAGACCCAAAGAAGCAGCTGCAGCTACAATCAAAATGATCAGGGTTGTATCTCGGCAAGCATCCCAAAGAAAGTTCTGCAAGACAGGCACAGAAATAATATATGGCAGCACCTTTTCCATTTCCACAACCAAAAACAAAAAACAAAACATATCTTTCCCAGAAAAATCAGCAAGAATGAAAAAATGACCATAAGTGGAAAACTTTGCATCGTATACCAAGAAACTCCGTCCTTTTTTTCGGGGATATGTGTTGGATCCAAATGCATTTTTTCGCTTCAATAAGTCATCATCATCTCCATGTATTCCCTTCTCTACATTTGTTTTTAACATATCAGCCAATCCTTTAACCTGATGTGGTAGCACAAACATTCAGATATCCAAAAGAAAGGTAGGAAACTATCTGACACTAAATAAAAATGAAAGAAAACGATGTGCTGCTAATAGACTTGCCCCTCCACATTGCTCCAAAGCAGAAAAATCATGATCCCTTGTCATTGAAGCAAGTTGCTCTTGGCCCAAACCATAATCACCAGCCGATGTTGTAGGTAATTTTGGGCTTGCTGAAACTAAGAGAAATGGGAATCAATGAAGACAAGTAACAACTTCAGCTTTAATAACTATAAGGAAAGCATGGTCCAGAGCTCTGCAACAGCAAACTTTTAAGAGAATAATTTTAAAAATGATAATCAAGATGTACATGATTAATGAGAATAAGCATGACCAAGAAATTGCCATGGCATTGCATCTTGCTAAATCTAAAATTCAGGTCAAAAACATACATTCAAAAGATTTGCCACAAGAGTCCTAACACTGAACCAAAACGACTCCAGTTGCTTTCTATCAAAATATTTCCACAACATCTTGTACACCACATAATACTATTGCAATAACAATTGTATGTCAATGAAAAATTAGCTGAAAAAGAGGATATTTTCTTTTGTGTATTCATACTAGCAATAGAATTCCATTAGAATGATATTTATTTTCCTACCCTATGTTACCTGGAACGTGAATTGTTTCGGTACATAGAACGAGAACGGGAACGTGATATGCCACATGTTCTAAAATATGATTCGATAGGGGTAGGCTTGTATATATTATACTTAAAAATTTAAGATACTTCTAGAGTAATTTTTTTTTTAACTATTAGATTTTCAATAAAATGTAATATTTTCTATGAGCATTATGACCCATTTGTTGATTTTTTGTTTTGTCAAAACTTAACCCACCTTAGATTTTAGTTCGTTATATTTGAATTTTTTCCTCTTAAGGTAACATTTAAGGACATGTATTGAAAAAAACTTTTGGGATCGCTTTGGAACACTAAATTTACTGTTTCGGAAAGGAAGAGTACCATGTTTCGGAACATGCGTACCAATACGTAATTCGCTAGGGTATTAGCGTTTTCTGGTAACATAGTTCCTACCATGTGATTGACTATTCAACTGTACCAGATTGACCATCAACTACAAGCCTCCTTTAAGGCTCACAAAAAACATACTAGGTTTAAAACCAATGTTTTCAAACAATACTTCAGTAAAAGAAAATGGCACAACTTACAGGTGTTCACGATTACCATGTTGGTATGACTAACTAAAGGATGTGTAAAAGCGTTAATGAGCTGGTAAAAGTCATAAAGTAGCCAAAAAAATAATATGATAATAAAAGATAATAAGAGACAACATACAGACATGGGCAGAGCTACAAGGACTTAAGTGGGGTCAATTGACCCCGCTGAAATTTGAAAACTCTTTTTTCTTTTACCTATATATAGTTTTTCTTTTTTTTCTCTTTTTTTTTTTTTTATGTAAGTTATAAATTTTTTAATTTTTTAACTTTTGAAATAAAACTGTTATATGCCAAAAAGAAATAAATAATTTTAAAAACAAACTATTTATTTTTTAAAAATAAATGTGATTAAATTATATAATTATAATTTGCGGAAAGAGATTTTTTTTTTTTTTTTAATCAATGATAATGATCAGTGAATGTGTGATTATTTGGATACATAGATCGAAAAAGATGTATTTGATGAAGAAATTGAAAACTCAATGTGGACAATTATTGAAGTGTAGGTCTTTGCTTGTTTTTTGTTGAAGCAATTTTGACAAGTTTGAATTACTTTTGTTGATATTATTGGGAATATATGACATTACAGTGTATAATGTGAGAATTTATTTTGATAGGTTTTGTATAACTAAAAATGTAACATTGATGATAGCCTGTTAAACGAGCCCACTAAAAATTTCTAGCTACACCACTGTTTGAAACTTACAGACATCCACATGTTTATGACTAGCTAAAGGATGTGTGAAAGCATTAATGCACTCGTAAATGTCAGAGAGTAGTATGAAACAACTATATCAATAGCCTCAAGTGCCATGGGAAAGTCAGAATTCATCTACTCAAAAGGTTATGGAAAGCCAGAAATACCAAATTTTAGCTGATGAACCCTGTGCTTATATTACAAGGCAAGGATGAACTTAAATTAAACAAACCAAAAAAATTTCCCCTCTATTTTTGTTAAAAGTGTAAATATTAATATGAATTACAGAAACAAAATTACCTTTTTCTTTTTTCCCAGCTTCTTTGAAAAGGTAGGCTGCCTAATAGATCAATAGACAGATTAGAGAGTAGATCAAATTGACTTGGAATAAAATTTTCAGTTCAGGAGATAACATTACTCGTATGACTTGAGCATGTGCTCTAATCTTTCGTATCGTTTGCATCTTCTCTTCTTCCTTTTTCAAGTCCAATGTGTATCGAAATCGACGAGAAGCATTTAACACAAGTGCCGCTTGCTAAGAAAGACAGGATTTAGTTAGTCCAAACATTACCGTTATCTTCAAATAAAGACAAACTGAACAAGGAATGATGGACGATGTTAAGATGACATGGAATTATACAAGACATGTGAACATAAAATTAGATTTCCCCTCACTGGTAGAATATGGCAAGACAACCAAAGCAAAAAGTTAACCGCATTATCAAAGAAAGCATAAAGATATGGGCCTAAGCCAATGTAGCAATTACAAAGCAAATAAATAAAATTATTTACCTACCAAAAAAACAATTCAAATCAGCTACCCATGCGTCAAACTTGATGTACAACCAAAGAATTAACCAATTCTATAGCCCTTAATCACCTAGGTGGCCATCTTCACTAATTAATTACTTAAAATACAAGATTAATCTGATAAATTTCAAAAAAAATACCAGATTAGGGAATGATTAGGATATCATCCCCTATTTATATTAATGAAGATTAATAATTACAAGGGAGCCCTAAGGCATAGAATAATTACAAAATAATAACCCAACCAATATTATTCTAATACTCTCTCTCAAGCTGGTGCAAAGATATCTCTCATGCCCAGCTTGCCTAAGATATCATAAAATGGCTTACTCCCAACTCCTTTGGTGAAGATGTTAGCAAGTTGTTCACCAGACTGCACAAAAGGAGTACATATTGTGCCACTAGTGAGTTTCTCCTTAATGAAGTGGCGATCAATCTCAACATGCTTTGTCCGGTCATATTGAACCGGATTGTGAGCGACGCTAATAGCGGCCTTATTATCACAATATAACTGCATGGAGTCTGTTTGACAAAGTTCAGAAAAGCGGTTGTGGTTGCCATAACGGTGGTGGTGGCACGGTTGCGACTGTGGGGTGTAAAGGCTGCAGCGTAACGGTTACGGTAACCGGAACCGTGAATTTTTTTATTTTTCTCACAATTTGAAAAAAACTTACCGATACGCACATTTTTTTTTCCATTATCATATTTATTGGATTTTAAAATAAATATTGATCAATTTTTATAAATTTTTAAGATTGATCCAATATATTTCATATTTTTAAATCACTATAAACTGAGTTTTTTACATTTTATTTTAATAATTAATGACTTTATATTATACAAAAAATCAAGCGCTAACTATTATATATAAGATAAACAATGACAAAAGTAAGAGAATAAATAAAAGCCTAAATATATATATATATATTAATCAAGTCAAATAGATAATGACCACACCTATTATTATTATTATTACCAAACATTATATAGATAGACATACACAAACAAAATGATTGAGTGATAGCAGCTGAATAGAATAGCATAGTCTTATAACTTCAACAAATCAATAACATGTTTTTCATCTTTCCTATTCTCTCTAACTATTATATATAAGATAAACAATGACAAAAGTAAGAGAATAAATAAAAGCCTAAATATATATATATATATATATATTAATCAAGTCAAATAGATAATGACCACACCTATTATTATTATTATTACCAAACATTATATAGATAGACACACACAAACAAAATGATTGAGTGATAGCAGCTGAATAGAATAGCATAGTCTTATAACTTCAACAAATCAATAACATGTTTTTCATCTTCCCTATTCTCTCTCTATCTCTCTTCCCCCATTTTCAACTTCTTTTTCTTTTTTTTTTTCAAAAGAAGCAATTCGGAACCGTTATGTAACGGTGCATAATAGGCCATTATGGCACCGTTACGGCCACTATAGCAGCCGCTACGGCCAATACACCTGTGAATCTCAATCACACTGCAAAAGCGGCGGTAACGGGTGGCGGTCACTACCACAACCGCTACATAACGGCGTTACGTAACGGTTGCGGCCGCTTTTTAAAACCTTGTTGTTTGATCAATACCTAGATCACTCAACAATAACTTATCCATAAAAGTTCTCACACTCCTTGGCCTCGTTTGGTAGAGCTATGGGAAAGTGATTATAACTTATAGCCTAACAGCTTATAGCTTATAACTGTGCACATAAGCTGATTTTTGACTTATAAATTAAGCTTCTCCTCCCCCACTCAAAGAATAAGTTGATTTTTGACTTACAAAAAGCTATAAGAAGTATTATTAAGCTGAACCAAACATATCAAAATAACTTAAATTAAGCTAAAAGCTGAAATAAGCTGGAAATAAACCCTACCAAACAGGGCCCTTGTGCCATAGCTCTAAATTCAGCTTCTGCACTTGACCTGGCAACCACATTCTGTTTCTTACTCCTCCAAGTAACTAGATTGCCGCCAATAAAGGTGCAATACCCTGAAGTCGATCTCCTATCAGTCACTGGTCCAGCCTAGTCAGCATCTGTATAGGCTTCCACACGAAGATTATCATACTTTCAAAAATAAAGACCCTTACCAGGAGTAGATTTCAAGTACCTCAAAATTCTCATGACAGCCTCGAAGTGAATCTGACGAGGAGCATGCATAAATTAGCTAACCACACTGACAGTAATAACAATATCAGGACGGGAGTGAGATAGATAAATGAGCTTACCCACTAATCGTTGATAGCTCCCCTTATCAACAGCTGCTCTTCCTTCATCATCTCCCAGTTTCTGAGTAGGTTCCAATGGAGTGTCACAGACCTTGCAACCAAGCATCACGGTTTCCTTCAATAGATCAAGCATATACTTCCTCTGTGAGATAAGTATCCCATCCTTGGAGCGAGCAACTTCAATTCCTAGAAAATACTTCAAGCTCCCCAAGTCTTTGATTTCAAACTCATTGGCTAAATATTTCTTCAACAGAGGAATTTCCTCACTATCATCACCCGTAAGAACTATGTCATCTACATAAACAATGAGTGTCGTAGTCTTACCACTTGAGGAATGTTTCACGAACAAGGTGTGATCTGCTTGACTCTGTTTGAAGCCATATTTAAGCATAACGTGAGTGAATCTCTCAAACCAAGCCCTTGGAGATTGTTTGAAACCATATAATGATTTCCGAAACCTGCATACTTTGCCTTCTGTCTAATAATCCTCAAAACCAGGAAGAATATCCATGTATACCTCTTCTTCGAGGTCACCATGGAGAAAGGCATTCTTTACATCAAACTGATAAAGTGGCCAATCTAGATTAGCTGCTAAAGAGAGAAATACTCTGACTGAATTCATCTTAGCCACGAGTGCAAAGGTCTCCTAATAATCAACCCCATAAGTCTGAGTGAAGCCTTTTGCCACAAGTCTAGCCTTGTAATGCTCAATAGAACCATCTACTTTGTGTTTTACAGTATACACCCATTTGCATCCCACAGGTCGTTTACCCTTAGGTAACTCAGTCAATTCCCAAGAACCATTCTTCCTAAAGGCTTTCATTTCCTCAATCATGGCAAGTTTCCACTCAGAGATAGCAAGAGCATCCTGAAATGGTTATGAATGCTAATAGAGGAAATATTTGACACAAACGCTCTATATGAGGACGACAAATGAGAGCAGGACACAAAATTGGAGAGAGGATGTTGAGTACAAGATCTCACACCCTTTCTCTTGGCAATAGGAACATCAAGATCAATGGACTTAAGAGATTCAAAGTTACTTGAACTCTCATCAGAAGCAGGAGATGGCAGTGGAGGAGTAGAAGTGGTCTCTTGTATACAGTTAACTTTCTATCGGTCTTTGTCCCTAATATAAACTTGTCCTTCCCTATTATTGGTGACATTGGGTTCTGTAGTCCCAGTAGAAGGTGGTGGTGCAAGAACCACTGGTTCCACCATAGGAATCATAAGAATCCCTTCACACCAAGGCTCTCCCTTAAGGGAGGACTATGACACCGGAGAGGACAAGAAATAGGACTGAGACTCAAAGAATGTGACATCCATGGACACAAACCAATTACGCGAAGGATTTTTTAGTAGGAGAGTAGCCAAGGAAAACACATTTGAGGGAGCGAGGATCCAACTTTCCACAAGTAGGAGAGTGGTTGTGGACAAAATAAACACAGCCAAATATATTAGGAGGAATAGAAAACAAGGACTCGGAACCTAGGAGGACTTTAAAGGGAGCTTGATTTTGCAAGACCTGGGAAGGAAGACGATTAATAAGATGAACAACGGTGAGAACAACATCGCCCCAACAGGACCGAGGCACACTCATAGAAAAATACATGCACCTAGCCATGTCAAGAAGATGGCGATTCTTGCGTTCTGCCACCCCATTTTGTTGAGGGGTATTAGTGCAAGAGGTCTAATGGATAATGTCATGAGTAAAAAAATATTGCCCTAACCCAGAATCTATGTATTTACCCCCATTATTAGAACGTAATATTTTGACAATGACCCCAAACTGGGTACAAATCATTTTATGAAAATTACGGAACACAGAAAAAACATCACTCTTGTCTGTCATGAGATACACCCAAGTAGTACGAGAAAAATCATCAATAAATGTAACAAACTAGCGATGACCTTTCACAGACACAACACGAGATGGACCCCAGACATCAGAATATATTAATAAAAATGGAACTAAACTTTTATTAAAACTGGGAGCAAAAGAAGTTCTGTGTTGTTTTTGGAGTTGACAAGACTCACAAAGAAATTTACACATTATTGTGTGAAAAAGCAGATGGAAATAAATGCTTAAGTAAATAAAAAGAAGAATGCCCCAAACGCCGATGCCACAACCATATATCATCGGTAATAGTAGGACTCGTGGTGGAAAAATGAGCAAGCTTGTCCAGTTGATCCAGAAAATAGAGACAATTTTCTGCACTACCACTGCCAATCGTCCTCCTCATGACAAGGTCCTGAAAAGACAATGATCAGGAAAAAAACGTCACACGACAATTCAAATCCTAAGTAATACGACTCAAAGATAACAGGTTAACAGAAAAATTAGGAACAATGGAGAACAGAAGATAGAGATATGGTAGGAGTGACATTGACTAAACTTTTCCCCAGAAATGGAAGAAACAGTACCATCTGCAATCCTAACTTTGTCCTAACCTGAAGAGGGCTTATAGGCAGAGAAAAGATCAGAGGATCCAGACATATGATCTAAGGCACCAGAATCAATAATCCAGGTCAAAGACTTATGAAACAGGAAAACACGATGAGAAGAGGCTAAGTTACCTGGGCGGGCAAACGACGAGGAAAATATACTGAGAGTAGTAGAAGACCGTCGGTCTAGCAAGTGACGCAGAACATCCTCAAGCTCAGGAGTAGTCATGCCACAGAGACCATCAGAAGCCTGGCCAACGGAAGCGGAAGTAACATCAAGTGAATCCACAGCACTAGACTGATGAGCCCGTGAATGGGAGACACGTCCTCGAGACTGGCCTAACCGACCTCCTCTAGAAACCAATCGATCACCGCGACCCCCGGATGGAGGCCCATGAAGCTTCCAACACGTCTCACGAGTATGCCGCGGCTTTTTACAGTAATCACAGAATACAGACTCCTAGGCGGTAGACGGAGGAATGGGAGTCAGGCTGAGGCCATCTCGAGGGGTAGACAGTAATGTTGAGCGGTCAGTAGAGACCAGGGACATCATAGCAGACCAGCGACTCTCCTCATTCTGTACATAGGCAAATGCGTCCTAAAGTGAAGGAAGAGTGTCCATACCCGGCACTCAACTCCTAATCAGATCATACTCCACATTGAGGCCTGCCAGAAACTTGAAGACTCGCTCCTGTGCGATGAACTTTTTGTACCCAACTAAATCAGTAGTGCAAACAGGCTTATAATCTTGCAGGTGATCAAGGCGTTTCCAGCCGTTGGTGAGGAAAATGAAGTACTGAAAAACCGTCTGCTCCCCTTGAACAAAGCTCTCAATAGAGCAGCGTAACTCAAATGCCTGTGAGAAATTCCCTTTGCGGGAATAGGTGGTAGCCACAGCATCCCAAACATCCTGGGCCGTCTCCATAGATAAATAGCCGTCGCCAATGTCCGGTACCATCAAATGAATAAGTCAACCCACAATCAAATGGTTGGTAATCTCCCATTGGTCATAACCCGGGTCAGTTGTGCTGGGTGCCTGTATCCTACCATCCACATACCGCATCTTCCCTCTACTCTTCAGAAACATAGTCAAACTCTGCGACCAAACGAGATAGTTCTGACCATTAAATAGAGAGGTAGTGATTTTAAGACTAGGTTTGGGATTATCAGTCATAGTAGTAGTAGGTATAGGGAGACTCTCACTCCTAGGTGTCTGAGAAGTAATGGACACACCGGTAGAACCAGCCATAGGTACTATACTACTACGCAACAAAACTAGTGCCAATCACAAATTCGATAGAGGATGGTGGAAGGAAAACACAAACACGACGACCACTAGGGCAGTATAAAAAGTGAACTCATATATTTACCTCCTCATATATATATATATTCTGCTTTTTTTTTTTTTAAGAAAAGAGAAAAATAAAATAAAAGATAAATAAATAACTCAAGAAAGAGAGACAGACAGACGACAAAGAACCAAAGGCGCTAAAGACAGACAGAGGAAGACAATGAAGAACCAGAGGCAGGCAGCACATGAGTCAAGTAGAGAGAGAGGCGAGGCAGTCGACTGAAGCCAACGAAGGCTTGGAAGCTGTCGGCTGGGTCATCCAGTAGTCGACGAAGACAATGAAGATGATCTGAAGGTGATTCAATGGTTCACGTTCATGCACCAGGTGATTTTCGAAACCTTAGGTGAGCCGAAATCCCTCAGGTGTGAGCCGAAACCCCTCAGGCTTCTTGCTGAAGTGTGTTGTCTTCGGCGATGGTTGTTGGCTCTGGTGGATACTGTATGGGTAGATGGGTTTAGGTTTTAGGGTTTGGCTCTGATACCATGATAAATTTCAAAAAAATACCAGATTAGGGAATGATTAGGATATCATCCCCTATTTATATTAATGAAGATTAATAATTACAAGGGAGCCCTAAGACATAGAATAATTACAAAATAATAACCCAACCAATATTATTCTAACATAATCACTGTCTTAAAAAATCACCAACTTCTCAAAAATAGCCCAGCTAAAAGAGAGATGGTTTTTCTCTCAACCTAAACAAGTCCACATCACATCTAGGTGTATTACCATTAGACCTTATACTAATCAATAAATGCCAAACTTTAAAAACTTTTGCGCAACACTAGTATATAACGCTTCAATGCCTAGCCCTCCTTGTGAAGTCATTCTTTTTGGTATACATGACTCTAATTATACAAATCCTTAACATACATGAAATCCTTCTTTTGTTTATTTCTTTTTTTTTTTTTTGTCCTCTATTTCATAGTTGATAGATAACTTCCTTATCAAAAGTTCACAACCAAAACATAAAATCCTGCATTATTCATGAAAAGAAAATGCCTTAATTGATCTTTATATTTTAGCTTTAATTTTCCTCCACTTTCAAATAATATGTACATCCTCCCTATCTCACTCTCTATATATGTAAGTGTACCAATGAGGGTGTGAGGGTGAAAGTAACGCCTAGGAAGCACGGATATGGATACGATACGGATATGACAATACGACAAAACTTAAAAAAGTAAGACCCGAATATGGCTAGGATACGTTTATAAAAAATATATTTTAAAAAAAGTATTGATAGTGAGTTACACATAAGCTCAAGAATGTTGAGAGATCACATTGTAATTTTATGATGAAAAACACTAACCTTTAAGAATTAAGAATTAGGTATTAACTTAAGATAGTAACTTGTTTATTTTTTAAATTTTCAATAAGTCTTGCAAATATTTCAGCTTAATATCAAGTTTAATATATTTATATTACAATAATAGAACAATCCACAACTTGTTCCTATGTTTTTCCCTTTGGTACTAGTAAACATATTGCACTCAAGTTTACTTGCTTATTTATTTATTAATTTTTAATTTTAATATTGTTATCTTCTCTTATTAATCCTTACTTTCTATGTAATTGTAGCGGACATGCATGAAACAATAAAGATACATCAATTTAACAAATTTTATTTACTTTTAACTCTCACTATGTTCTTCTCATCAAATAAGAAAATAAAGTATTAGGGGTAAATATCACTTTTAAAGTATCTGATACTTCAAAATTAAGTATCGAATAAATTAATGAAAAAATAATTAATAAGTATCAAATACATATCCATGAGTATCCAAGGAGTATCGGTATCCGATACAGATGCGATACGGATACATCACCATTTTTGAAGTATTCATGCTTCATAGAGTAGCACTAAAGTGAGAGTGGTGGTAGGTGAAGGTCGACAAATTCCAATCATTTGTAAAAAAGCCCTCCATTTATGTAAGTAAAACCATACAGATTCTGAGGCCCAAACACAAAATTAAAATATACAAATGAACAGGTTGTGAGAATATATTCGTATCTATTCTGTGTATTAGTATATATTATGTATATATTTATATTAGCCATGTTTGATATCCCTTTGATTGTATAGGGATTCTATTTCCTTTTTTTAATCTCTGTCTTAGGGCTATATAAACAGTTGTGTACTTTGTAAATATACAACTGAATATTCAGAATTGTTCATTCAGAAATCTTACATGGTATCAAAGCTATTTTCGAAACCCTAGTCTCTTATTTCTGGTTTGTCGTTTCCTTCTCTGGTTCGCGATCGATCGAAGCTCCTTGCTTCGTAGGTCATTTGGGTTGATTGGGTCTGGATTGATTGCTGGTTGTCTAGGTCATTTGGTTATCTCCAGCCGAAGGACTCCCCTCCGACGTGTTGTTCGTGACTTCTTCTATCTCCTCTTTGACTCGCGGTTGTCTCTAATTTTGGTTTTCTGGTTCGCTGATTCATCCTCTCTGGTTTGCAACTCGCATCATTATGTGCTCGCCACATCTACTGGTTGCCTCGATGATTCTTGTTCTCTGCTTGTAACTCGCCGGTGATTGGTATCTCCTTTCACTCTAATATTTTGAAATTGTGATCATATATATTACGATATATCTGTTTGATTGATCAAAATTCTGGTTTTTACGTTTTGACCACAGCTTGTCTCTTTATTTTTCGTTTGGACCCCTCTTGTTTTGATTACATATCTTCACAATGTCGGACACCAAAATCCAAACATTCATATGCAAACTCACTAGTGCCACTTATGCTTATTGACCCAGTGTTATGAAGAATTTTCTTCCAAATCAGAAAAAATGAGGCTATGTTTTTGGTTCTGTTCCTTGTCTGTCAGACCTGAAAACAGAAGAATATCTGACTTCTTGTGACACCTGGGATTGTGATAATGTCCAAGTTCTAACCTAGTTTCATAATTCCATAGATAACCATATTAGGATAATGTTTTCTAAATACAATACTGCCAAGGAAGTGTGGGATTATTTATAGAGTGTTTATCAACAGTACAACTTTGCCAAGCGGAATGAGTTAGAAACAGCTACTCAGAGTGTTCGTCAGCAGGATCAGTCTATTCTGGATTTCTATATTGAAATGATAGGTCTCTAAGATCAGTTGACTCTTATGGAACCACCTAGTCTCAAGATACTAAACGCTTTTATTAAGTTTCGGGAGCAGGGTCGTTTAGTGCAGTTCTTAACGGCTCTCTCCCCTCAGTATAAGACTATCCGTGGTGGTATCCTTCACTGATCTCCTCTTCCCTCTATGAAAGCTATTGTTCGTGAGCTCCTCTCTGAGGAAAGCCGACTTAAGAATACCAATCAGACTCTTCCTCCCTCTATCTTCTTGGCTCCTACTAAGCCTCGTCTATTATCAACCCCACCTCCTCATCAACTTCAGGCCACTGCGAAGCCCAAGAAAGGACCATTAGATCCAAATGTGTACGTTCTGCCATCAGAGGGGTCATTGGAAGTACAACTACCCCAAGAAGGGACGTAAGCCTACTCCATCTTCTTAACCACCTCAAACAGAATTTCGCAGTCCTACTCCGAGTACTTTCCGACCTCCTGCCGCTTATACTTCATCTGCTCCAGCTCCCGATCCTAACTTGGCTTTCTTGAATGCTCAGATTGCTCAACTTCAACATATCCCCGTCCACCACTCAGTCATCCCCATCTATCTCCACTCTTACCTCTCTTTATTCAGATTCACTTAGATCCTCATCAAGTATAACTTAGTTGCACGAAGTGGGAGCTGAAGCTGGAGCGAGGAAGAGTTAGCTGATAGAAGTTTCTTAGGTTGGGAGCGCCTCGAGGAGTAGTAATATATATATATATATATATATTAATATATATTAGAAGTTTTTTTATAAATATTTTTATTTTAATACACATTATTTATTATATTTTTTAAATAATGTGTTATTGTTAATTTTTTTATTTTATTTTACATATATGTGTTTGTGTTTTTTTATTAATATGTATAATATATACTCATATATATATAAAGATTATATATGTTTTATCTTATATTAACTTTTATATATATATATATATATATATATTACTTATATTATATATATCGTGAGAAAGCCACATAGAGAGAGAAAGAGCGCAAGTGAGAGAGAGAGAGAAGGCAAAGATGAAGGCAGAAAAGACGATTAGCAAGAACAGAGAGGAAAAAGCAGAGGAGACGACAAAAAACAGAGACATAGAGACTATCTGCGAGAGAGAGAGAGCGAGAGAGAGAGATGAACTGCGAAAGAGAGAGAGACGACCTGCCAAAGAGAGAGAGAGAGACGAACTGAGACAGAGAGGCGAAAAGCACACAGAGAAAGAAGACGACCTTCAAAATGATAAAAGAAAAACAAAAACGAAGCAAAGAACATATCTCGATCTAGAGCTTTAACTTCACCCTATTAAGCTTTAACATGTTTAGGTTCTTCTTCACCTTCTTTCTCCTCTCTCTCTTTGTCGACCAACAGACTAGGGTTTATGTTCATAGCCACCAACGATCTATCTTGGACAAGATCGCGTTTCTCTCTCCACGGAAACGTGATTCTTACACGTTTCTTTCTAAGAAACGCGAAATCACATTTATTACGAAGATTCGTCACTTGGTTGCACGATAAGAGGTATCATTTCTTTTGTCTGGCTTTTTTATTCTAGTGCCTCTCATCATATGACTCAACGCCTTTCCTTACTTCAAAACTGTATTCCCCCACCCATTCCTATTATTATTAATATTGCTAATGGGTCTAGTATGTCTGTTCTGTCTATTGAGTTTGTCTTATCCTCTATTATGTCTGGTATTACTATTCCCTATGTTCTTTACGTTCCTCAACTATTTGTCAGTTTATTATCTATCAGTCAACATGATGCTTCTAGTTTTGATGTTATATTTTCCTCTTCTGTCTGTTGTGTGCAGGATCGGGTGTCCAAGAAGCAAATTGGGACCAGCCATAGAGTTGGAGATCTCTATGTGGTAAAAAGCTTGCATATTTCTTTATCCACCTCTCCAGTTGCACTTTCCTCATTTCAGTTAGATTCTCAGTCGAGTCAATTTTATTTATGACATTCTCGCCTGGGTCATTTGTCTATTGACCGCTTACGGCCTTTAACTCAGTCAGGATTGTTGGGTAAAGTTTCTTATAGTCAAATTGATGAATGTTAGGCGTGTAAACTTGCCAAAATGCCAATTTTACCATTAAATAAAAGTACTTATATTTCTGTTTTCCATTTTCTCTTGTGCAGACTGATGTCTAGAGACCCTCTCCTATTCTCACTAAAGAGGGTTCTGCATATTATGTACCTTTTGTTGATGATTGCACCCACTATACTTGGGTTTATCTTATAACTCATAAATTTAACTTCTACCAAATATACTATAACTTTCGGTCTATGATCACCAGATAGTTTGGATCTACCACAAATTGTTACGGTCCGACTTAGGTGGGGAGTATTTTAAAACAGAGTTCTGTGAGTGCGATGACCCCAACATACATATTATTTTTGCATATTATTTTAATAAGTATAACTGCATGATTATGTGTTTAATTTGTGTTTATCTGTCTGTTTCTGGAATATCTATTAGAATACCAACTTAGAATTCGAAATTGAAAACCTAAACGGATTCAAAAACCAAAATTGACTAGCTCAATAGGCTAATTGGTTATTTAGAATCATATGGCAAATTTAATTATAATTTGATTTGGATCAAAATAATTAGAAAAAATCAATTAGACTTTATTAGGATTAATTAAGCTTAATCTAGGTTAATTAGCATAATCTAATTCCTTTTTATAAATACATGTGCCTTAGGCATTTTGAGTTCATTCTTTATCATCAAATATTGTGGCTAAGATTCTAGAGAGAGGACTAACTTCTAGAGAGAGAGAAGAGAGATTGACGAGGATTTGAAGAGATTAAGCTAGCAACTCCTAAATTCAAGCTCTAGGTAAGATCATTACACATAATTCTTGTAGATAATCCATATAGAAGTTAAATTCATGGAGGTTGTAAGATTATTTGCATGAATTTGAGAGGAAAATGCTAGAATCACTAGAATTCTCGTAGGATTGGGTTGAAATTGGACATGCATGCATAATTCTCCATCTTTGAGCTTAATTTTCTACAAATTCATACATACATGGAGCTTTTACACATTAACTTGAGGGATTCTTCACGTTTCTACACTTCTCATTTCATTTAATCATGTGTTGAAAGGAAAGAAGTTCAATTCATTGCATGCATGACAAAAACATTTTGAGTCTTGTCTTGGGAAATTGAAAGAAGTCTAAGAGTATGGTTTCATAATTTCCTTGAATTCATGCTTTATAAAGAATTTCTACATATTTTTATCAAATCATGCAAGCTTTGAACATAAGAGACATGCTTTTGAACTTCAAAGAGCAATGTGGAAAGCCCAGAATTCACCCAGTTTGCTTGAGCGATGAAACCGTGACTCGAGAGTACTTTGCATGCTCTTAGCATTTTTGCAGACATTTGTTGTTGGCTAGAGCATCCAAGTGTGCGCTTGAATGAACTCAACTTTGCATTGCACTTGGCTCGAGCAACCAAGTGATGACTCGAGCCAATTTGAACACCATCTAGTATTTTTGCAGTCAAGCCACACCACTCGAACGAACAAATGTGCGCTTGAGCGAAGACTCTGTTTTCAGCAATTTTTGTCAAACACTCCAATGCGCATATTTGCATCCTCATGCCCTTTTAGGCATTCTTAAGCATTATTTAGACATTCTTAGTCATGGAATAAACTAGAAACACGCGTAAGAGAGTTGAATTAAGATACGCTATTTGTTATGAATGTGCACTTCAATGTGTATCTTTGTTATGTGTTTTGTGTAGGTGGTTATCTAAGGTCTAACACCTTTGCCAGCCCACTGTGAGTAATATCTTTGTAAAGATATGTTCAAATGTATTTTGAATTACTTCAAAAACGCTATTTTGAAATGCTATTTTGATTGAATGAATGATTGTCTCATTCGAAATGTAATTATGGCATCCTTTAGTTAGGCCCTTGCCTAGGGGAAATAATACCAAGGCACTTCATTATTTGATTGATTAGGCCCTTGCCTGGAAGAAATAATCCAAAGGCCCTTCGTTATTCGATAGAGATCTCTGATGTTGCCCCGAGTGGTCCCTTTGCTTGACCTAGATGGTCCCTTCGATTAGATTCATGTGATTCCTATGTTGACCTTCAAGGCCCCTTTGATATATGCCTTCGGACCCTTTGTTTTGTGCTATTGGATGCACCACATATGAGTTATAATTTATAAACTTTGATATGACAAGTACTTAATTATGATTTGTTTCAAAACTCATGAGATATGATTTGTATTATGCTAGACATCATTCATTTAACCTCTTTATATTGATATTACTGACTGGATTTTAGCTCACCCCTTTTCCCTATATACATGTCGGTGAGAAGATGAAATGTCAAGTCTAGAGCAACCTTAGGAGTCCACCTTTTGTGAAGCCGCTTTAAAGTGCCTCCGTGATAGGGCGTACTTGGACTCGAGTGGAGACAAGTTGTGTCAACCCTATTATTTTATGTTATTTTGTTTTGTTCTTTGGGGACTTATTTCAAATGGATAATATGTGTAAGAAGTTTAACTCAATGTGTTGTACCTATGTATGTGTGTAAGATTAGATATGTGAGTTTTAAGTTTTAAATACTTGTGTAATTTGCATTTATGCACTGCTCGATAGACGTAGTTATATTCTATTATTGCTTCCGCAAAACCCCGTTTACTATTGTTAGTTATTCGTTTTGTCTTCGAGGCAGGGTAATATGGGATTACTGGTCAATCATGGCCTAAACCTCTAAGGACGGGTTTAGGTCCTGACAGTGAGTATCTGGCCAATTTGTGTACCATTCACCAAACTTCCTATACTGATACACCCGCTCAAAATAATCATGCTGAGCGTAAGTACTGTCATCTCCTTGAGACAGCTAGATCTCTCCTTTCTACCTCTGTTCCGGCTCTCTTTTGGGGGGAAGCCGTTCTTACAAATTTTCTTCTCAACCATATGCCTACCCCCCTACTCTCTATCCGCTCTCCTTATGGGGCTCTGTTTTCCCAACTCCCCAATTACTCTTTCCTTTGTGTTTTTGGGTCTACATATTTTGTCCTTCCCCGAAAAAATGGGACAAAACTTAGTGCCCAATCTGTCCTATATGTCTTTTTGGGCTACAATTTTACTCAGAAAGGCTATCGCACGATCTTGTTTCCCGTCGCTTTTTCATCTCTCGTCATGTTGCCTTCCTGGAACGTCTAGCTTACTTTGAGCCTCCTCCTCTCACTGCTCCAGTTTCTAAAAAAGAGTTGGTTCACATTAATCCATTTCCTTCTAAAGTCCCTCTTCATGAGTACATCTCTACTTTTCCCCATGAGCTTGTTCCTTCTTCTCCTCCTACTACCTATCCTGCTAAGTCCCTCTCCACTATCCCACATGAGTCTGTTCCATCCTCTCCACCTCCTCTCCCGCCTACTCCTTCTCCTCCTCCGATGTTAGTCTATTCTCGTCACAAGGCTCTCCCTTCACCAGTTGTCACTGCCCCTGCTGCTGCTGCTGCTGATTCTCCTGCTTCTAACGACTCTAATCTTGCTAACCGTGAGTATCCCCTTCGCATCCGTAAACAGCTAATCAAACTTGATTTTGCTAAAACATGTTTTTCTCCTTTATACTATACATTTTTGTCTGCTATTCACTCTTTTTCAAAACCTCAATCTTAAAAGGAGGTTTGTCAATCCTAATTGAATTCAAGCTATGAAAGACGAGTTGTCTACATTGCAAAAGACTAATACTTGGGAGTTGATTTCTC